TTTACTGATTTTGTGTGCATATATTTCTTAACTTTTTTTCATAAAGATATATTAATTGGAACTATAAAATTAGATATAACAATGCAAAATGATATCAAATGAGTTAAGAAAAAAAAATATAAACGAGAAAACTTATTGAAATTGTCAATCTATTATATTTTTCTCTAACTACAATTGTTTCATACACGTTATTATATTAGCAAAATAATACTTATAAAATGACATAAGTTTTTTGTCTTTAACTATTTAGATAATTTGAAATGGAAAAAATCTATTTTGTAATATAATAATTTAGAAATATTACTATTTTAGTATGAAGTTTTTTTCTTTTTTGTTTATTAGTACATAATCCTTATTTGGAATATATTCCTTATTTTTTTTTTAATTTTTTGTTAATATTGACATATGTCACAATCTAAATTAACAATTACATGTGTCGTAATCTGGTGAGTTACAATTTTGCCCACGTGTCGCGTTCTCATCGCGCACATCCTCTTTTATATAATAAGATTTGGGGCGCTAGAAAATAGGAAAAATCATTCTTAAGTACACGAAATATTTGCTAATATATTGCAAATCATCCCAAGTATATAATACATGGTGACATACACCAAGTGTATGTAAACATGTTAAAAATACAAATTGGTGTTTTTTATAAATATTTATCAATTTGGGGGTCAATTTGTAATTATTTTTATAGAAACAATATAAATCCAAAAAATTTTAAAGCTTACAAAGTTTTAAAAATTGAAAGAAAATCCATAAAATTTCAAAAATATAAGGAAAAAATAATAACTAAATTTGTAAAATCCTAAAGTTTCTAGAAATCATTCCAAAATTTATAATAATACAAAATTTCAAAAAAACATTCTGAAACAAAAATTTATAGTGTAGATAGATGTCAAATTATACTTGCAATTTTGAATTTCAAAATTAAATTAAATTTAGAAATTACTATTTAATGTTGGGATAGTACCGAAACCACAAATAAAAATATTCTCCGAAGAAAAATTGTAATATATATGTCGTTTTTGTATTTTATTCTAAATTATTGAAACTTATTCAATATAATTGAAACTACATTTGTTGACCAACATTTTTAAACTTGTGTTTATTTTTGTCTAACAAATTCATTGGTTTCAAAATATATAATTTTGGAACTATGTACATTACATTTTTAACTACCTAATTTAGAGACTAATAAATTTTTGTAATTTTAAAAATTTTGGGATTTTAAAAATTTAATTTTTCTATAAATATTAAAACTCAAACTATAATTTAAATTTTTATCTAAAATTTAATATATTTTGCGTTAAAACTTTTGAAATTTTATGGATTTTTTTCTGATTTGTTAACCTTTGTATGTTTTTAGTTTTCTGGATTTTCATACAAATATTATTTTTATTAAAATAATTAAAAATTAACCTCAAATTGATAAATATTTATAAAAAAAACACTAATTTGTAGTTTCTTCGGATGGTTTGCACGTCAATATTTGGTGTAGTTAACAATGATTTTTCCTAGAAAATATGGATATGAAAAGGAGGTCGTAAACGGTTTCCTTTTTTTTAGGAAGGTACGGACAGCCCTGCTAATCAGTACGATTAAACTACAAATAATTAGTAACAAAGAAACAATTCATAACAAATAGAGAAGTCAGAGTCACATATAGGAGAAGACGAACCGGTTACATAGAAGACAAAATGTTCATCGTCGAAGAACAAAAATTCTAAAATATATCAAAAAGTAAAAAATCTATATTTTAGTCACACGATCAGTGCTCCAAAATTTGAATGAACTGATTCGATTCATCAATAGGCCTTATGTGGATCGGTTGATGCTGACGTTGCATGTGAAGTTGGGATCAATTTCAAAAAGATATTTAAGAAGTAAATAAGGTAGATAAGAAAAATTTACATAAATTTTACATTAACGAGATATAAATTTTTAAATTGATCAAGGAAACAGCACCTACCATAATAATGATCAATTCAAAAATGTTTTTCCAAAACCTTCCAC